TCCCTCTCATAAAACAGTGCACTGGAATTGAATTCCTACCCATAGTGGTTGAGACCATGCCTCATGATATTTATGATTTGTGGTCTCACTTGAATATATACAAATATTTGGGGAGAAAGATTTTTCATTTTTTTCATCAGTGGAACTTGGTCATTCTTATTTTCCCTTTTGGTTGCTCTGTTGTCCCTAATTTCGTTTCCTTTTGTTTGAAAAGATCAGGATCCTATTCCTGCTTTAATCCATGAAAAAGTTAAAACATGTAAAGGGGAAAATTATATGTTAAATGGGATGACATTTTTTTTTTGGCATATATTAGACGGTAAAATTTAAAGAGTTAAAAATATTTTTATTTTAAATTTGTGTTAATGTTCTTATATTTGTGCACTCTAACGTCATGGAAAACACATATCAAACTAAATTACTTTTCATAAAGAGCATTTTTGAGTCGTATTTAGTTAAACGCAAACTAAAAAGTACCCAAATTAACAAAAACCGAAACCATGCCAAAGAAGAAAATCACAAGAAAAAGGGTCAATAATTAGTCTTCAAAGCATAATGGATGTTAGTTTTGAAAAAACAAAGGTTAATAATTTGGTATTGAATTGAACTAAGTGGACAGCACTTGGGCATTCCCCTCTAGTCAATTGGAGAGCCTTTTCCATCTGTATTTGGGACCCTCAATTTAGGCACAATCTATCCAATCATGCTTCAAGCCATCGTTTTACAACTTTTATACGTGTCTTGACTTGTTTCAAATGACTTAGTAATAGCCCCTAATTGCATGCCACATAATTCTCACTTGAAAGCAGCCTTGTCACTTGCTGGGAATCAGTTGCTTATCCAATTTGGTAATCTTTCTCTTGTACTAATCTGAAAATTTAGTGTTGGAATTGTAAAGACATTACTTGATCTTGTTTTCATGGACATACTTATAAACCAAACATTAAAAAAAAAAAAGATATAAAAGAATATTACTTCTATTCTTAATAAAATACTAACTATTTTAAAGCAATCTAATAGTAATATTTTTCTCATTGAAGTAAAATTAAGGGTTCTTATATTGAAGTTATACAATATGTGATAGAGTGAGCGAAAATGATGAAATATGATTTATTTTTTCTGCGCAACACAGCCCATATATAATAATAATAATAAAAGAATGTTTTATTCTCTAAATTTTATATTTCAATCCTTTCACTTGTATTTTTCTTAAACTAAACAGAATATTGTTAGATACATTCAGGATGTCGCAGCATGCCTAAATCCGACAAAATTAGAAGGATGTACAGAATTGTTCAAAGAAAATTATTGAGACACATTTTATGTCAGATATAATATCATGTAATAGTTAATAAGTAGTCTATTAATTATTGATCTTTTATCACTTTAGTTAGTAAAGTATATTTTCTCTCAAAATAATCTACCCATCACTTTCTGAGTTTAACCGAGGTTAAACCTCCAATTTGACTCCTCAACTATTGTATGGATCATTGATTTGATTCATAAATTAAAAAAATCCATAATTTAATTCTTAAAGTTTTTAAATTTGACTTCAAATTGGTATTTATATTAAAAAATAACTGACATATTTATTATTTAATGATAGAAAACCATTATTTAATGATAGAAAACCATTATTTAACAACCATATATCACGTTAATAATGAGACACGTTAATTATTTTTCTACGAAAATACCCACTTGGGATTAAATTTAGAAACTTTAATGAATAAATCATAGATTTTTTAAATTCAAAAACCAAATCAGAAGTTCATATAATAGTTGAGTGATCAAATTAGAGATTTAACCTTTAACTAATAGAGAAATCTACCCTATTGCTTACATGGAGCACAACATGATCTACCATGTAAAACTCTCGCATTTATTATTAACTCTAAACTTTAATCCAAAAAGGAAACAAAAGGGGGCAGGATATTTTTTTATTTTTTATCCACATGACACTTTCATTACAAAGTGTGTAATAATGTCAAGTCAACTAATGAAAAATTAGTTGTGGTCTTGTGGGTACACCATATAGATATGATTTTTCAAGTTACTGGACTCTTTTGAAAGAACAAAACCTTCCTAGGCTAAAGTGATAAAAAATCAATAGTTAATAGATGAATTATTACATTTATCCCTATCTAATGGTTTTGCAATCTTTGAAATAGTAACTATAATTGACTCTTTTTATTCCATAAAACATGTAAATCAACATTCATTCTCATTTGATGCCAATGTTTATATTGCAAAACTTTATTGTAAGATAAAATTATGAATGAATTAACTCTAAAATATAAAACTGAAAGTTTATACTTCTAGAAAGTTTTGTATGCTTTGAGCAAAAAAAATGTTTCGCCTACATTCAACTCAACTGTTTCAAAATTAAGGCCAAACAAACATCAAGATAAGCCTTTATAATTAATGGTACCTCCTTGGCGAAACAGTACATGTATTACTTAATGATAGATACAAAGTTCAAAACTTGCATGTGCAGAATATCTCAATTCTCAATGCTTGGAAATTCTGTTACACATCCAACATATGTATTTCACTATGGGGGTTGAGAATGTGCATCACGTTTGGAATATACAATAGAGGCAGCTGAGGAAAGTCAAAGAAATGAAGCAAAATAGCCATTCAATTCATTCATGGTTCTCATTACCAATTAATCATCCCTCATACATGTGACAAGTTTGTGGGATATATTGTGCATTCATGATTAAATGCCTTGCAAAAGCTGGCGGATGGGCCATGCCTCAGGCCTCCGCTGCACATGCACTTGCCACTCCAACATATGTACTTGTAGATACACCCCATGTGTTTAAGTCACAAAGGGGTTTTCCTCAAAAAAAATAAGGAAAGAAAAAAAGTCACAAAGGGTCAAATCTATTAATGCCGACTTCAGACTCGGCAGCAGAAAGCTAGCACGTTGTGTTGTGGCAGAATTGCTGTTCCTTTTTAACGGTATCTTCTCCTTCTTATTCTTTTTAATGATATTGTACTGTACAATAAAAGAAAATATTTTTATATTGTAAAATGATTCGTATACATTCTAAGTTTGAATATGAAACTTTTATTCTTAATAAAAGTTTGGTGTTCCACTATTGGACTATATCTTTAGAAATTTTTAGAATTTGTTCTTAATTTTAAGTATTTTTGTGTTTTTGTTTTATTTATAATAGGGACTTTCAAGCAGCATGAGACAATGGAGGCGATTCCTTAAAAGACAAATTGTGTTGCTAAAAAAAATTGTTAAATAGAAAAGAAAAAGCAGATGACAGCTCTCTTTATTATTTACCCCCAACAATACATGACGAAAAGCAAGAAGAAAATTATTTGGGTATTACTCAAAAAAAAAAGAAAGAAAGAAAGAATATTATTTGGGTCAAAGCAAAACATCGGGCCTAATAGACTGTGTCATAAAAGAGTTGAGGCCTTCCTCACATGGCTTGAAAGGGATGAAGGTGGGAGGCAGCTGGGCCAGATTGGGCCAAGATGTTCCATCCCTTACTGGACTAACAGCAGACAAGATCGTAAGTGTTGCGGCGCCTCCCGCTGTTCTGGCCCATGTTTCGCAGTGTACCAATCACGTAAAGAAGTCTTACTCTTATCTAAAAAAAAGTTAATAACAAAAAAAAAAAATATATATATATATATATGAATAAAGTTAGAAATTAATGTTTGTCCTCTTAATTTTTTAAGAGAAAAGTATCTCAAAATTCCCTTAATCCAATCAAGCACTGCAGAAAAAGATCAAAACAATCTCATTTAAATTATATCATTTTAATCTTTTTTCAATAAAAGTTTTAGAGGTCTTGGTTTAAAAAATACGTTTGGTTTAATGGCAACAAAAATTCCTGTATTAGAGTTCTTAATTTATCCTATAAGAAGAAAGATTCAATTTCTTCTATATAAAGAAAGATTCAACAGTTCAACAAGTTAAAAAGAATATTGGGCCAAAGCTTTGACGCATTAATGTTGATGATTGTGATGAATTATTCAAAATACTTTAAAAAAAGTTATAAGCTAACTAAACATATATACACAAATAGGTATTTGACTGTCAAATTAGAATTAAGTAATTAATTATCATTTTTAATTATAACTTCATAATTAAAAATTTGAAACCAGTAAATAGTGATTTGGCTAAACTTTCTTGTTAATATATCATCATATGAAGTAATATATAAAGGTATATATAAACTCTTAAAAAAAAATATTTTGGTATAGCTGAGGCACTGAGCTGACTAATATGGCAAAAATGCTAGCCTTGTGTTCATGGTTTTCACATGCCTATATGGCTCTAATATACCTTAACCAAATTGATCAACAAAAAGGAAAAAACCCCCAGAAGGCATGCCGGTGTATATCATTATCTCCCTTTGTTATATGCACATGGAGCAATCCGACTAAATCTGGCGCCTTTGAAATTATGGAACAATTTGCGGCATAAAACCCCCAATAGGGGCAGTCGAAGATACCATATCTGCTAAGGATGCTGCAGAGTAATTCCCATTTAAAAAAGGATGCTGACTATTGTATTTTTCGGAGCCAATATTCTGTTTTTTTTTTGGTTAAAGAAAAGCTGGATATTATTTCGATCCAAGGTTAGGCCATGCTAGCAGCTTTGGTGCAGAGTAAAAATGATTCATTTGAACGAGTCAAATAATTCGAACCATGAACACGTACATACATTCAATGGTGCAACAACTAACAGAAGACACTACAGAAATTGAAGAAGCTGCATTTATACTGTACTGTACTTTGAACGAGAAGAGAAGGTGGGAAGAGAGCGATGGCAACATTAATTAGAAATATTTGACACCCTTCGCAAAATCACTCACATTTTCAATTTAATTATTTATGAAATTGCTATGGAAAAATCAGAAGAAATTAAAATGGCATCCATGTGAAGTAAAGTCCTTATTTTTTCTGCTTAGAAGACAGATTACATGGTAAAAATTTACCTATAGTGCTTCATATTCAATATTCTTCATCATGAATTCAAATTCTTATTAAAAACTTGAAATTCACAAAATGGTCCTCCATATAAAGTATCATATCCTGAAACAAATCCTCCCCTATTCAACAAATTTCCTCAACCTATTATGGATCATGACCAAGTCGAAGCTCCAAATCGACTTCATCTTCCTTCATATTCCTCCTCCTCCCATGATTTTCATCTACATGACTCTGGCCGACTCTCAAGCTCAAATTAGCCCCCAAAATCTCTTCATGACCCAAACCTGAAGGCTGCAACGACCTATGAACAACATAATCATTGTCATAGTACCCATATTGCTGCCTAGGATTCGACCCCGGTGACTGAAAAAACATGCCATAATTTCGCTCGCCCTCCTCCACAACAGGATAATTCCTAGGGCTCATGTTGATCATGTAGTCTTTAACCGATGAAGTAGCTGTGCCTTGCTTTGCCTTTGCACGATCTTTCCTGTGTATGTTCATGTGCCCTCCTAAGGCCTGAGCGTTGGTGAACCCCCTCTTGCAAAACGTGCACTCATATGACCGTTTCATGGCCGCAGGCACCATGTCTCCTCCCTTGACTCCATCTTCGCTGGAATTAACATCGGAATCCATGTCTGCTAGTACACACTCAGAGACAAAGAGAGAAAGGAAGCTGGTAGGGGTTGAGAAAGGTTAATATAAAGAGACAATTAGAGGACACTGGCTTTGTCATTGTGGCGTACTTTCTGTGCATTTGTAATGGGGAGAGACTGTTTTTTTTGGGCGTTTTCATTAGGATTTTTCCTTTCAGTCGGCTCCGTCATGGATCCATATATATCCGAAGTCCTCTTTATTTAGTATAATCTATTTCCATTTCTCTCTTTTCTCTAGTGATTTGGTTTTGATTAGTGCTCAAGTGTAGGTGTCACCCTGGCAGGAGTCTTCTTTACGCGGTTACCATATTTATTATAATATTATAAATAAGGTTAATTTTTCAACAATAACAGAAGCTTGGAAAATTTTATTTTTGCGTATATGTGTATATAATAATTAGTAGTAAATATGCTTTATAGATATACATGATATTTTTATATCAGTTTCACTTATCAAATTAAATTTCAGTAATTCGATAAAAAAAAATGTGATTTATATTGAGAAAAAGAGATTCTTACTGCTCTAGTTTCCAAAAAAGAGGTACCTAGATTGTCAATTAAGGCATTGAGGCAAATGAAGCTGGAAATTTGTTCCTTCCTCAAGAATAGTGTGAAAACTCTGAAGCATAATATCATTCACTTTCTTGGGGGTCTAGTATCTCTACTTCACGAGGTATGCGCATGCCAAAACTGTACTCCATATATATATGTGCATTACTTAATTCCTCATCTTCTACATGTGAATGCGAATCTCTCACAATTAAGAAGAGAGAGATCAAAGGGATATCGAAAACTTGAAGCCATAAATATAGAGAGAAAGAGAAAATGCCATTTGAAATTAAATAGCATAAAAGCTCATTTATTTGCCCTATTAGGGTTCCTTTGATGCAAGGAAAAAGAGATATCATGTGCCATTTTTCTATTTTGATATCTTCATATAATTTTTTTTTCCTTGTATGGGCAAGGGCAGCTATCTGTCATATTGCATGCTTCACCTTAAGGGAAAATTTTCTTAGGAGGCAAACGTCCTATTATCCACATCCCTTAATCTCATCCAATTAATACAAAGCTATATCCAACTAAAACAACTGACTCTTAGGGAGCAGTTCAAAAGGGAATTAACTGATGTAATCCCACTAATTATTTTTTTTGTTAGAAAACAAATTTATAGAAACATACCATATATATATGTCTTTTAGCGTCCTAATTAAGTCATGATTACTATTAATCTAGCTGCTTCTTTGTTCTGATTAAAGAGAATTGGTTTCCAAAAAAGAAGAAGCTGTTTTGGTTTTTTATTTAAGTTCAAGGATTATAGTTAATTAGTATTAGACAAATGGAAGAAGGGCGTCAATGACAACAACATGAGTGCTGGATTTTCGATCTGCTGCCATAGTGCCAGTTCATGTTCTTTGTTCTTCAGCTTAATTAATGCAAAAGAGGTTATTCAAAAGGATTTTAATTTGATCCAAACTCATCAAGCTTAAGTTATTTGTTTCTACTTCTTTGGAATTAAGAACTTTCAGGTACGATGTTCAGGTCATGAATCACGCGCAAATAATAAAAAGTTGATTATGGAAATCTGAACAACGAATTGGGCTAACAAATGGGCCCATCTGGGCCCAAAAGGAATTAGGACAATTTGGTTGAAATAAATCCGAAATGCACTTTTGATTTTTTTTTTTTTAACCCAATAAGAAAATCTCAAACAATTTCTTATTTTCTAGTTTAAAGTACAATACTTTTTTAAACTAAAAAATAAATGGACTCAAAGAGGTATGAAATCTTGTCTTCAGAAGCTCATAGCATATGTTAGCCAATAAAATAAATAAACTCATAGCATATAATTAGTGGCTCTGCCCTGCACACAAATCAATTGGGAATTTTTATCTAATTAAGCTATTAGATTAAGATTTAGGACTGGAGTATGTTGGTTTTTAAAATTTAACATTAGTTGGGACTTCATTGGAAGTTTCTATAATATTATCAATAATTAAGCTGGGTGGGTAAAGAAGCAAGACTAAAATACACGTAGGAATTTATATCTTGGATTATTATAGTGGGCCTTGCTCAATTATTATCACTTTCAGGCCGCAAGAATGGAAAAAGGTATTGGACCACAAGCATTGGACCCAAATCTGTTTCTTTGGTAAGCCCAAATCATTGTTTCCATTTTTCTGGAGTTGGTGAGATTTTTTTTTTTTTAAATTATTCAAGAGGGATTGGAACACTCTCAAGAATATTTAAATATATATTTTTGAGCCTGTATGACAACTACATACAATTTTAATTATTTTATGTTAAAGGGCATGGAGGAAAGTGATATCTCACCAGAACGAAATTGGGAACATATGAAGCTATATGTATCTAATACCCTTTTTTTTTTCTTTTTTTTTGAGGAACACGTATCTAATACCATTAAATTGCTTAGATTGTAATTTATGAGATTGTGACCAAACCAGTAATTAGATCTCTCATCCTTTGCGCCATCCCTCACTTTTTTCTCCACTTTCACCAAAACAAGCACAGTTGGAAGCTCCTCTTCATTCACTTTTGGTCTCTCCTCCTTCCTCTCTTCTTTCACTTTCCATGCGTGGGGACCACATCTCTATAATTTCATGTCACCCCTACCCCATTCCCATCCCCATCAATTAATACTTCCATTTGTGCGTACATTTTGATTTGTTTGTTGGTTTTGGGTAAACTATATTATTTTAGATTATTTTGCATGACCATATATATATATATATATATATATATTAAAATCATCACTTCTTCGATTTGGTCAAACATTGGTGTTAGGTGAGATTAAGATATTCACAAAAAAGTTGTTAAGGTGATCCCTCTCAAGAATTGAAACTAGATTATTTCTTTAATTTCTATTTCTTCAATTTCAGCCTTTTCAAATTAAATTGAACCTTGACATGCAAAAGGAACTTAATTTAGTTTAAAATCTTGATTTTCTTTTTGTTAGGTATAAGAGTTTAAACTTTTAATATGCTAATTTACTCATTCACCAAAAAGAAAATTCGAATATTGATTGATGAGCCATCAAGAGAACCCTTTTGAAGTTCATGGTTGCTTTTAATGATTTTGGTAAGTGATTTTGTATTCTAGCATGGATTAGTTAAGCAGATATATCTAGCAATTAGCCTTCTATAAAACTCAACTGGAATTTGGTCCTTTCTTTTCCAAGTCTGGGTATTTTAACTATGACACCATTATTGTATTTATTTTGGAAATTCTAACCTTATGGCCTTGGTCACGTGCCGCTAGCTAAAAAAGAAGTGTTGCCTTTGACCTTTTTTTAGTTTATAATTACAAAAAAAGAAAAAAAAGAAAAAAAAGAAGTGATGTGTAGTCTATTCTGTGCAAATTGTATATCTTATAACTATTAATAAAGATTGATTCCCTTGAATTTGGGTGATCTTTATCTTTATCAATTATCATTATTTTGTAGTATGACCTTCTTTCTCTTGTAATTAATAGAAAGTATTGTAGAATCTAGTTAGTTTTAGTCCCTTGTATATTCTATCAATTAACATTTTTTTAATCATTTATTAAATTGGGGTGTTTGTTTTTGTTTATTATTTTTGAAAAGAACTATTAGTTGCTGGTCTTAATTGATAGATGGATTATAAACAAAAAATAAGGGCCTGTTTGTGAAGGTTGGATATTGGTTATCACATTTGAACAAATAATCTAGTTGCCCATAATTGAGTTTTCTTACGAGGTAATAGTTGTATAAAGGTACACAATAATTTTTATTTTGATTGAATATAAAGGTATAATAATTTTAAATATAAAATAACGTGTTACTCTATTATTGATTCTTTTTACTTCTTGTGTCATCTATGAATGTTGCATTGCAATTGCTTAACCCTCACATAAGATTTAAATTTTTTTTTTTTTTTCGATGTAGTTAGCTTAACCGTCACTTATACATTGCAATTGCAACTGCTGCTATGCAAGCGGAAATGTAGACGAACATTCTGCTTCAACATTTATTCTTATCTATCATGGCGGCCAGTGGTGGTAAGTAGTTCACCTACGTAATAGGAGAGTCATAATCACATAAACACCATCATTCTTGGTACGTAAGCTTTGATTCTTGACGATATCCTCCATCTTCAAGATTTCCCCGGGTACAGGAAGACGTTAATTTTCTTCATTGAATTACTTTGTATATGGGTTTTCCTCTTCAAATCCTGTCAATTCCATTGACAAATATCTCCAGCATATCATACAGACATACCTACGGTTTTTTAAGAACTAATGATATATCTGTTAAAATGGCATATATATGTTACAAAATTCTTAACCATATCTCACAGTGATGCATAGACATGAGATTTTTGGGTTGATAGCTTTCTGTCTATCATATATGTTTGTAAAATTGTCTGAACTAGGTAGGCTTTTTGTTTCTATACTGCTTTTTTGTTGTTGGCCAGATTTAGCTTTTTTGTTCAAGTGGGTTTTTGTAATTTGCATATATGTGACGTTTGCTCCTAGGCTAGGTACATGTTCTCTCTGTTTCTGGGTAAATTTTGGCATGATGAATCAACGGTTTATTGGCATTGCATCCCAAATTTTAGGATCTTATATGGAACATGTAGGACCTTGATGAATTCAAATAGCTTTAGGCACAGAATAAAATAACAAAACCGTAATGCTACGACAGGGGGAAATGATTTTTTGAGCAGAGTTTGAACAAGCAGTGTCAAATTAAAGTTTGGTATTTGGTTCAGTACGTGATTGAGCTATTTGTCTTTCGTGAGGTCAGTATCCGAAAGAGCTTACATATGTAATAATTATATAGAACATGAGATGGGGTCCTCAGAGCTGCCCCTTCCATGCTTCAAAATTTACATCTGGGTATCAAACTTAACCAGCTTGAGAAGAGGTCCCTATGCATCTATGGTGCATATGTAACTTGTTTATAACATTTGTTGACAGTGCTTTTGATTAATTCTATTAACTTCATCTTCTCAGGGAGTGATGAATAAGGGCACCAAACACTTTGTCTCTCTTCTCTTTCAAGGTAACGTAGTCTGATCCAACGAACATAATTTCCCTCTTTCATGAACACTGGAGAAAATACCACATCATATACATGTCCTTGAAGTTTTGTAATTATCTCAAGTTCCATTTTCAAATGTATAAATTGTGTTTTAGCGTATTACATTTTATGTAATCAAAACTTTGAGATCTTAAATTGTTAAATTTTGACATTTGGGTTTTGACTTGAGTTGGGATAAGCACTTTTCAACCAAACCCAAATGCTGCATAAAATTTACTGGAGACTGCATTTAATTCCCTTGTCAATTCATGGATGTGAATTTGGAGGTTTCACTTTAGATTTGAGAGCTTATCACACAATACAACTTTAAAATTTTGAGAACCTTCTTTTATCATTGAAACTCAACTTGAATGAGGCTTAGTTCATGAGTGAATCAACCAGGGACAAGCACTTAGTAATCAAATTCAGGTTGGCACATAAGTTCGGCAATGCAAGACTCTGGCCAGTATTCAGATGCTAGTTTAGGAGTGACCTTGATAATTTGAGTGATTACATTAGGATTAGGAGTGATGAATTACGTCAAGAATTTGTGTTCTCTGCTCCTATATTTCTTAGAATAGGTGAAACCTTGTAGAAAGGTAAAATGATGAAAGGAAACACAGAAGAGTGATGAGTGCCCAAGGTATCAAAGAGAGAAGGGGGTGGCCGAATAAGTGCAGGTATGATTAGAAAAGTACTGATGAATTAAATGAAAGGACAGAGGGAGAGGAGGTTAGGGAAGACTACCTATTTATTTTATTTGTTAAGATTATTCAAATTGTGTAAAAAATTATTTTTTTTATTTGGTTTGATTATTAAAAATAATTAATAATTAAATTTTATTAT